TCTTCTTCTTCTTCTTCTTCTTCTTCTTCTTCTTCTTCTTCTTCTTCTTCTTCTTCTTCTTCTTCTTCTTCTCTTCTTCTTCTTCTTTTCTTCTTCCTTCTTCCTCCTCCTGTTTTTCTCTAACAGTATCCATGTTTCGGTCTTGGATCATTTTAATCTGATTTGTTTCCGTTTTTTGAGGCAGTCTCACTATTAGCCTTAGCTGGCCTTGAACTCAGAAATCCACCTGCCTCTGTCTCCTGAGTGCTGGGATGTAAGGTATGTACCACCATGCCTGACTTGAGCTAATTTTTGTACGTGATGAGAGACAGGAAACTAGTTCCATTCTTCTACAAGTAAACCCCAGCACCATTTACAGAAGAGGCTGTCTTTTCTCCAGCAGTAGCTTCCAGCTCTTCAGTAGAAATCAGACGGCATGGCTTATTTAAGGATATTTTGTCTCAGTGGATGCCTGTGCAAGTGGTGTGGGGTGTGTGTGTGTGTGTGTGTGTGTGTGTGTGTGTGTGTGTGGTGTGTTTACTGTGGCTGTAGAATAACTTGAAATCAATCAGTCAGTGTGATACCTCATCTTTCTGCTCAAGGTTGCACTGGCTGTTCAGGATCTTCTTTGCTTCTGTATGAATTCAAGATTGCTTTTCCTATTTCTGTGAAGAATATCATTAGAATTTCAAAGGTGAGCATTGACTCTGTAGATCACTTTCAGGAACACAACCATTTTTACAGCACTGGTTCTGTGATCCATGAATATGGAAGGTCTTCTATTTCTTTAGTGTTTGAAATATTTCATTATATAGATTTACCACCTCCTTGGTTTATTTAGTCTATTTGTTCCTAGGCATTTTATTTTTGAGGCTATTGTGAATGGGATTATTATTATTATTATTATTATTATTATTATTAATTATTATTATTATTATTTTGAGACAGTGTCTCTCTGTGTAAGAGCCCTGGCTGTCCTAGAATTTGCTTTGTAGACTAGGCTGGCCTCGAACTCGCAGAGATCTGATCTGCCTACCTCTGTCTCTGAGTGCTGAGTTTAAAGGTGAGCACTATTACCACCAACTCTTTTCTTGATGTCTTTCTCAGTGTGTTTGTTATTGGTATAAAGAAAAGTTACTAGTTGTTTTATGCTAGTGTTGTATCCTGCTACTTTACTGAAAAGGTTTACAGATCTAAGTATTTCCTAGAGGAGTTTTTAGGATCCTTTAAGAGTGTATCATCTTCTGCTAGTAGACGCAATGCGTTTTTTGTTTGTGTTTTGTGTTGTGTTGTGTTTTCCTATTTTTATTACTCTTGCTTTGTTGCTCTGGCTAAGAATTCTGAATCAACCATCTTCTGCAAATAGCCAAGACTTCTTGTGAAGGAACTGGGTCACCAACCCAGCCACAAAACCTTCCACCTACAATTTGTCTTCCTTGCAAGATGTGCTGGGGTAGAGCTGGTACAGAACTTGTGGGAATGCCAGTAAATGACTTCTTGAACTTGAGGCCCACGCCACGAGAGGGAGCCCATGGCTGACACTGCCTGGATGGCTAGGAACCAGAGGCTAGGTAGGCTAGAGTCCTAGGAGAAAAACAAACACAACTGGCAAAACCAAAACCAGAACAAAACAGGTCAGTGAAAGGATTCCTCGGACATCCTGCTACACTCGTAGACTGGAGCCTAGTATAATGGAGACTTCATCAGCAACTGATAGGAGCAGAGACCCACAGCCAAATATCAGGTGGAGCTTGGAGAATCCCAAGCCTATGGGGGGGGGGGGCAAAGGGCTGTAGGAGCCAGAGGGGTCAAGGGCACCGCAAGAACACCCACAGCCCACGGAATCAACTGAGCAGGGCGCATCAGCGCTCACAGAGACTGAAGCAGCAATCACGGAGCCTGCGTGGGTCCACACTAGGTCCCCTGCATATATGTTACGTTGTATAGCTTGGTGTTCTTGTGGGACTCCAAAGAGTGGGAGTCTGACTCTATGGCCTATGCTTGGGATCCTTTTCCTCCTACTGGGTTGCCTCATCCAGCTTTGATAGGAGGGTTTGTGTCTAGTCTTATTGTAGCTTGTTATGCTGTTTGGTTGATGTCCCTGGGAGGTCTGATCCTTTCTGAAAAGAAAGAATGGATCTGGGGGAAAGGGGAGGTGGGAGGGAGGGGCTGGAAGGAGAGGAGAGAAGGGAAACTGTGGACAGGATGTAAAATATGAGAGAATAAATTAATTAAATTAATAAAAAAAGAATTCAGCTGCTGTGCTGAATACGAGTGGAGAGAGCAAATAGCCTGTTTTGTTAATAATTTTAGAAGAGATATTTGAAATCTTTCCCCATTGAGTATAATGTTGTCTGTAGAATTGATTCTTACATGAAGACAGTAGAAGAAAGGGCTGGAGAGATGGCTCAGAGGTTAAGAGCACTGGCTGTTCTTCCAAAGGTCCTGAGTTCAATTCCCAGCAACCACATGTGGCTCACAACACACATGCAGGCAGAACACTGTATTAATAATAATACAACAGAAGAGAGATTTATTATATATGTAACTGGTTCTGCTTTGGGCAAGATGGGCCTCTCAGGGGCGTCTCAGCAAATACGTCGTGATGGAAGACACAGATCCACTGAGAGAGAAGCTACATAGCAGCCTGCAGCCCAGCAGCTGTGACTACCTGCCCCCCTGCCTCTCCTGCTCCTCCCGCCCTCCCTGTGGCCTCCTCAGGCACAGCTTCTCAGCCTGCCTGGCCTCTGCCCCGTCGGGAGTACCTGTGTTTTGGCGTGTGCACGTTGTTCTCCCCTTTGGCTCTGGTGCAGAGGTGCCTAAGTGGTAAGGACTAGAGCAGAGCAGCGCTGTGGAGGCTTATCTGCCTGACTTTTAGTGACCTCGGCCTGTGAGGTCATAGTTTTCACTGTGTCTGATAAAGTTTTCTGCTGTTTCTTTGGATGTCTTTAGTTTCATTTGTGTGAGACTGTCAACTATGCACACGAGGCTGCTCGATAGAGACGGACACTTTCTGTCTGTGCTCATTCGAGCAGTTCATGTTGCTGTGTCTTCAGGCCACCAACCTCTTACGTTCCCACTTATCTGCTGTTAATCCCACCTGGCATACCTTTTTATATCTTTATTTATTTTTATTGTATGAAAGTTTTGCCTGCATGTATGTTTGATCACCACATGCATACATGGTTCCTGTGGAGGTCAGAAGAGAACATCAGATCTCCTGGAAAAGGAGTTGTAGGTGTCTATGAGTCACACTGTGGTGCTGGGAATTGAACCCTGGTTCTTGGCAAGAGCGGCTAGTGCTCTTAACGCATGAGCCACCTCCCCAGCTCCCGTGTCTTTTTTTTTTTTTTAAACCATTTCAGGTTTTATTTTTTCTCTGACTTCGTGTCTCTTCCTTTTGCTCTTCTACCTTCTTGACTACGTGGAGCTACAGTAGTTGGTTTATGCCTTTGTCTGCTGCTCTAACTCTCACTTCTGGGTCAGCTTTTAGTGATTTTTTTTTTAAAAGTGTTTTATGGTGCTGGAGAGATGGCTCAGAAGTTAAGAGGACTGTCTGCTCTTTTAGAGGCCCTGAGTTCAAGTCTCAGCAACCTCACGGTGGTTCACAACCATCTATAATGAGATCTGGTGCCCTCTTCTGGCAATCAGGCACACATGTATACATAATAAAGAAATAAATCTTTTTTAAAGTGTCTTATGAGCCTTGTTTGATGTTTTCCTCACTCTCATGTATTTTCACAGGCATGAGTAAATCCCAGCTGGAGGCCAAGGAAGCCCTCTGTGTATCTTGACGCTGGAGAGCTAATCTATGCCTCGGCCTTCTGTCTAACACTTTACCTTGTTAACTGGAGTGCCCCGATCGCCACACTGCTGTCTGGAACCTCCTTCCAGAGAGAGCTGGTATAGTCATAGGCTCACATTTGCTCATTTCTCCTTCACTGAGCTCTGCCCTGCTCTGTTGAAACTGCTGCATTGTTTAAGCTTCCGCTGTCTAGTTAATGCAGGCTCTTTTCTGAATGCAAACAGAACAAACGAGCCAGTGTTTCAGGACTGTGATAATATGAAAAATAGGTAGCCTGTTGGTTAAGATGACTGACCCTGCTAACACTACATTTTCTTCCATAACCAGCCACCATGCAAAGGGACTATCAGGAAGTCTGTAGAGCAGTGGTGGCTAACTCCTGATGGGCAGCTGTGCCTCCATACAAG